GGGGGGGGGGGGGGGGGGGGGGGGGGGGGGGGGGGGGGGGGGGGGGGGGGTGATGATGTGAGCCCTGCTGCTCAGCGTTGGAATTTCCTTTCTGTTTTCCCTGCCCAACAAGGCCAAGTATATACCCTTCGATCGCGGGATACCTTCACGACGCACACACGCCGGCACAGCTTTAGGTATATCCTCGACAGAGGCCGCCGCTGGCTGATCCCCCACATATCACACAGCAGTGAACGGTTTTTCCGAGACCCACTGGAAAGTGTAGTACTTAACATACACTGAAAAGTGTAGTACACGTCTCACCACGAAAAATGGGGGGACTGTTGTCGCCACAATGAATAAGACGGAAACACACTCACACACACTGTTGGATCTTGGGAGTGTACGATCATCAAATTGGGAGATGCAGCATACCACGATATCCTGGCTTCGGCTGGGCTTGAAATAACCCTTTTGCTGTCCTCCGCTCTTTGCATCAGTGGCTTCCTAGGTTCGGACGAGGGCATGTGTGGAGCTATGGCCGTGTATGTGTTGCTATTTTGTTTGAGTAATCTAGCTGCTGACACGATGACTGTTGGATCTTGGGAGTGTACGATTATCAAATTGGGAGATGCAGCATACCACGATATCCTGGCTTCGGCTGGGCTTGAAATAACCCTTTTGCTGTCCTCCGCTCTTTGCATCAGTGGCTTCCTAGGTTCGGACGAGGGCATGTGTGGAGCTATGGCCGTGTATGTGTTGCTATTTTGTTTGAGTCATCTAGCTGCTGACACGATGACTGTTGGATCTTGGGAGTGTACGATCATCAAATTGGGAGATGCAGCATACCACGATATCCTGGCTTCGGCTGGGCTTGAAATAACCCTTTTGCTGTACTCCGCTCTTTGCATCAGTGGCTTCCTAGATTCGAGCGAATGCATTTGTGTAGCTGAGATGTGTGTCTACGTGAAAGAACATGTGGAGAGAGTCGTATTGGCATTCGCATCAAGCGCATTGCGCATTTTTCGAATTTTGGCCCCCTTCCAGGGACCTTGATTTTTACCCGCTGGCACTGACGTCTTTTCATTGGTCAGCCGGTTAGCGCGGTCGATGCTAATAATAAACACACACACACTCGAACCGGTCGCTCACTCAAACCCAAACATCTCCCGCGTTTACGAATTGCTGGTTCTTCTTTCCTTGATGAAGAGCTTGTTTCGCCAGCAGAACAAGCAGTGCATTCTCGGGGCCAGTGTCACTGCCGCGGCCATGGTTACAGGTTGAAGAAAGGCTAAACAACCGTTACATGTACTACAATCACAGCCTGAATGGACTGCTGTACACAGCGTCAGTAGTGGGTCGCCCTTGCGCCTCACGGGAGCAGCCGCAGCGCGTGTCCGTCGGTTCTCCTTTTGCTCCACCGAATCTTCCTGGAAATTTCTTGATTCATTGGCTGTTGAATGATTCAGTCCTGCTCCCGCAACACCCCAGAACTTGCTTCGTCAAATCTCAGTACTTTGGTCCGCCAACGACAGACTACGCAGACTCCTCGAGAAGGGTAGACGAGTGGATGAGGCCTAACAACCTGGGGGGAAGTGAGAATGATCTCACGAATTGAGTCCGCAATGACGATGACACTGAGGAGCGATCCATAGGTTGACCTCTGAGTCGACAAGTAGATCGCGGTGTCCTTGACCTCTGAGTCGACAAGTAGATCGCGGTGTCCTCTACAGCAGGACTACTGCTGTAATGCCAACTTATAATCCAAACACGGCGTGTGTGCTCTGCGTCATGTCATATCCAAACCTTAAAATTGGGTGATGCTGCCGCCGAAATCAAACTGCCATCTTGCTACCTTTACGGCTGCGTGATCGAGATTCAACTTAGTTCACCAACGCGACAGCGCAATGAAAGCCTTTTTTTCAAATCGCTCCAGCAGTGTGGTGTGCACGTGACGTGCATGGGATGTTACGTTTGGCACTTCAGCCCGGCGAACACGTCAGATGTACAAAGTCTATAGGTTGCGGGCGAGCTGCGAATCCGGAAAGGACGATCGCAGGGCTTCCCCTTTCACTTCTTACCTTATGGCAGCAAGACTTGTCTCGTCCCTCTCTCTGTCTATCTCCTTGTCTGGACCACACTCGCTGTCCGTCTTGTGTGCTACGCAGCGGAGGTTTGGCGTAGCAGTTGACAAGTGCCTGATCGCGTTGCATATGATGCGGCAGGTTTCAAGCGCATGTCACTTGCTTCGCCTACTCTGCGGAGCCCCCTGACAGCGAAAAGGTTCTCCTGCTCTGCTGTCTTCCGGTCGACGTTGCACCCAGCTGCAGGACACGGAGAGAGTAAAAGAGAGAGCGGTAACAGGAGAGCGGGAGTAATTTATCCTTTTGTAGCACTGGGTAGTATATGCAGCTGGGTTTCAAGGCGGCGGAAACAGCAGGGCAGCACTGGTCGGAAAGCTGCCGAAGGTGCGGCACGATTTAATCCGCCTACAAGAGTACCACATTTTATTTCGTGCTTTCAGGGAATGTGCACGCCTTGCTCAACTTCGAGCAACGCGTGCAGCTTGGCAGGAGTTGTTACTTGTATGGTATTGTGCCAAAACATCCGAGGATAACGCCGTTTCCGGTACATGTGTGTGGTGTTGCAGCGCTGGCAATCTGTGTACGGCGTAGTCGGCCCTCTCACGTGACTGTGATCCTTTATGTCCTCTCGCGGCCCCTCTTGCCTCTTTCTGTCTGTTGTTTTCGTGTCGCGGCCGTCTCTGCACCATTACCAGCGCGGCGAGATTGATCTAGAGTTAATAAGAGAAGAGAGAAAGAGAGAGAGAGAGAGAGAGAGAGAGAGAGGCACGCCCCGAAAGTATACCCAGGATCCGTCTGGGTTGTTGGTGGAGATTTAGCGGTGCTCTCGAACACACGCCAAAATCCGTGCCGGTGTTCTGCTCTGACTACAACGCAGTGCAGAGTAGTTGATCCCGCGGGGTGGCTCAAGTTGTGCCGGGTGTAGAGACAGAAATTATTCGTCACAGGGTTTCTCATGGATCAAAGCAACGATGTTGGCCGCACACAGGACGTTGCTTTTCGACATGGACGAATGTTTGAGCAGCATTCCATCTATCCCCCGCCAAGACCACAATACACCCTGTTTGGTGTGTCTTGAAGTCGATGGCATGTCGATATTCTTCAACGCATTGTTGTGATCGCAGTTGCTACAGAAGCAAAAACTTGCCACTCATTGCTCGTGCTTAAGTACTTTTGTTGTTTGAGGGGGCACGTTTTTGTACCCCAACGCGTACTTTTTCACCCCTCCCAATCTCGTCCCCTGCTCAGTCGCACGGAGATCCTCACGTCGTTCTCCTCACACCGGCCATGGTTTTGGGCAACCGCAGGGGAGGCGCTTAAAGTCGTAACCTCTATCGTAGAGCAGCTCATCCCTTGGTTTCGCTTGGAACCAGAGATGGGTATGCTTTCCCACCTTGTTTGACGTCAAGCCGGTACAGTGCTGTACATGTTTGCCTGTGACCACGGGAATCGACCGCGTAAAGTGTCGGATCAGTACGCACATATGAAGGTACTGGGTAGAAAGAGATCGGAACGGTTTTCAATGTGAAGACAAAACAACAACAAACGGGAGGCAGATTTTACGCACAAGCACCCACCAGAGTCTCCGGCCTAGGCCAATACAAAGGCGTATCGTGAGAACAAAAGAGTCGTGTACCATATCACATGGGATCATCGCTAGATACTGCTATCGGAGTCGGGGTACAAAGGTGGTCAAGAATTATTCGAAAATTATCCTATCGTCTTATTCCAGCGAGGGCGCCGTACGGCCTTTAGAACAGACCAAGAAAAATCGGGAAGAGGATACCGATCGGAAAATGATATTTTATCGCAACGTGCGTTTAGTTTCCTGTTGAATCGTTCGAATGTTAATGTTCAGATGCCCACGGGTGTTGGTGAGCACAGCAGAACCCGTTTGAGTGAGGCGGGGGCTAGGGTGGATGATCGAAATTCGCTGGTTTAGTCAAAACAGACGACGGCGCCCGATATTTCAGGACTGCTCGTTCAAATGCACGTATGGGAGGCCGCAAGCGCTACTGCACACTTCACACCATGTCTCCATTTCGAAGGTTTTCGAACGTTTCTTCAGGTGTTTGTCTTCGTGTCTAAAATGGCCGGTGCCCCCCCCCTCCCCCTCCCTTTCTCTGTACGCGTGGTCTTCCTTTAGATGGATCAAGGGGGTTCCGCAGGCGGACGCCAAGCAACGGCAGCGGTAACCGTCAAGGTGTTAGTTCTGGGTGACCCTGCCACAGGAAAGACGAGCATCATCAAGAGGTCAGTTGGCGGAAGGTTCGGGAGTATTTAGTTCCTACTCGTATGGGTCGAAGGGCCTGGGTCTCTTTTCGAGAAGGATTGGTTTCTCCGCTCAAGGGGGGCAGGATGGATGTTCCTGGTAGGTGTTGAAGATTGAGGACATGTGGCGCCGGGGTCGCGGGCGCCCTATTGGTCACGCAACGTGGTGCCATTGGGGGAGGCGAGATGTCCCGTTGGGGCTAGAGTGCCACCGTCGTTGTTTTGTGCCTAGAGTGCCACCGTCCTGGTTTTGTGAAAAAGTGGAGGTTGGTTTGTCTTCGGTATGATGCGGCGGACGAGACCGGGTTCACGAAATCAATGCATTTTTATTGTGCTGCAGCCTGCAAGTTGATTCTGCACATTACGCGTGCATCACTACATGAATGCGTTTTTCCGTGGCTCACACGCGCAAAATTCGTCCCATCGGTTCATTGGCCGGTTCGATTAGAGGAACAATTTTGGTCAGACGACCGTCATCTCCTTGTTCAATACCGCCGGTGGTGCCGAACCCCATTCGCACGCCTCTTGTTGCTACGGCGGCAGCCTGCCGTGACATGCGTTGCGCTTCCTACTTGATTGATTTTTGTGCCATGGTTCTGTCTGGGAACCGCAGATATGTGCACGACTTCTTTTCGGGTCACCACAAGACCACCGTTGGGGTGGACTTCGCTCTCAAGCAGCTCGTGGTAGGGGACACCACTGTCAAGCTGCAGCTCTGGGACATCGCGGGACAGGCGAGTTGTGGTAACTGCTTCTTTTGCTTCACCCATGAACTCGAGCAGCTGCATGACCCGCTTCCTCGACGACTCACTCGGGGATTCCTTCGCGGTTGGGTTCAATTTTAGATTTTCTAGTGAGGGAAAGGTTCTGTGCTCAGGATGGTAGCAGTTCTTTGCGGTTTCCAAGGTTACCCATTGTTTCTTTCGTTGATGGCGGAGGAGGGACGGGAGTGAGAAGAGTAGGACCCCGGAAGACCTGTAGCACCCGGGCATGGCTGCCTAAGGCAGCCGGCCGAGCGAAACTGTGGTCTACGCAGGTTTTCATGTAAGCAAACATATTGGATACAGTATGGAATCGGCTAAGTCGGAGTTAGGGTTAGGGTTAGGGTCTGCGTACTCCCTGCCTGGTATTTTTTCCTCGTTAAACGTTCTTTCTTTCCGTAGGCAATGCGAACGAAAGTGAGAGAAGGAAGGTGGCCGTGTGGGGGAAAACACCCGGACATGACGGATTTTGGGGCGTTTCGAAACGTTTTTTGGCGTGTTTGTTCTGTGTCGCTGACAACCAAGAAAGACCAAGCTGAAGCCTCCGTGCCGTCGCCTTTCTGAACAAGTGCTCTTGCCACACCCGTCTTTCCGGTGGTGCCTTGCTCTGCAGGATAGATTCGGGTCGATCGCACGGGCTTACTACAAGGAGGCCCTGGGGGCCCTCTTGGTGTACGATATCGGGCGAAGCTCTAGCTTCAAGACGGTGCAGAGGTGGAAGGGGGAGATAGACGAGAAGGTGAGAAATGCTCAGTCTCCCGTGCATGCATGACGTGAGGGTGATGGGCTGGGGAACGGGTGGTGTATGCTCTTGTCACCCCCGCCCGATGTGATGCGAGCGTTGCCACGCATCCTTTTGGCGATGGGTTCCATCCTTACTCCTTGCAGAGACTCGAATAACAACTCAAGCGCTCGCCACGTACTTTTCATGGGGGAACGTCGGTCCAGACGAGCCGTGTTGAATGTTTTGCGGGCAAGTTCCGGTTGCCAGACCGCCTTGGCTTGGCAGCTCTAGCATCGACGCACGACTAGCCTTTTGTCCGCATGCGTCATTCTCAGGACGTGATCGTGGATTTCTTGCATTAGGTTACGGTCTGCGGGCTCTTGCTGTAGTATCCCCCCCCCCCCCCCCTCGACTACCATTATTTCAATCCCGATGTATTGGCGACATGGGGGAGTTGCGCGACCATGAGGTTCAGAAGACACTCATGTGCCCTGTACGTACCGGCTTAGCTCTTGCAATCATCCCGGGAAGGACGAAACGCCGTCGCTGCTGCGTTTTTGCAGCGTATGCTTCTCACAAGCTTCTGTTGTGCTGTCACTACCAAGTGGAAACTGCGCTCCGCGGTGGGGTGTGCCAGGCGTTTATTTAGCAGCCTTGTTAACTGCCTGCCTGTATTGAGGTTGTTGTTGCTCGCTTTCGCAAATGCCATCGACACATGATACCTCTGAGGCTTTTGAGGGGGCTGGCATAACCTCACCGCTACTTTAGCGCAAACGGTTTTTGCAGGAATAGACTACAGGAGTAGATATGGGGGGCTTTTTTCTTGTCCCATCGGTGACGGTGCGTGGTCCTCGTGTGCCGGTCCAATGCTGATGCTGGTCTTGACGACCTGCCTGTTTGTCCTGCCTGTTTGTGTTTGCTTACTTGGCATCGACCGCGCTATTCGGCCGGCAAATGAAAATACGTAACCCCTTTTACTACTGCTGTCTTGTACTATTGCTGTAGCGGGATAAAAATCACCAACACTTTCTACCACGTGTGTGTGTGTTTTCATTATTTGCTTCGAGCGCGCTAACTAGCTGACCAATGAAACAACGTCAGTCTCAGTGCGGGTTAAACGAAGAACACTTCTAAATGCCGTAGACTGGGACCCTGTGAGGGGGCGGCATGCGGGAGACTACCCTATTCTCCGGATCAAAGACAGAAACGGGAGCAACAGAAGAAAACTGCGCACGTTTACGAAGGCTGCTACCTTGCACTCGTGTATGTGTGTGTGCTTTTTTTTTTTTCAGGTTCGTCTTCCCGACGGCGGGCGGCTCCCCGTGGTGCTGCTGGCGAACAAGTGCGATCTCGATATTCCAATCGACAGGTGACATTCGCACTCACCCTGTTTTTGCTTTGTCAACAATTCTTCTCTTTGGGTCTTGGAACCAAGTTCGTACAAGTGTATTCCTCGTAGTGCAGCGCTTTCGTGCTTGTTTTCTAGTTGGCTTGTCTGTCCTTGGTTCGGTCATGACGAAGAAGTTCGCCCAGACAGGTGCGCAGACAATACCAACAAACCTCTCACAACTCTTTCTATTATCGAAGTTACCTTTGCTTTTGCGAGCGCTGCCTAGCATGGTTCAACTCGGAATTCAACCATGGGGAGCCAGCGAGAAATGTTCTCGTCCATGTTGTGTATCGTCCCTTCATTGCTGTTTTTTCTCTTCTTTTTCACGTTTTTCTCGGGGAAGCTAACATGTAGTTGTAGGGCAGACTTCGCTCTCCGGGCTTCAACCCGCAGCCTTCCGCAGAGAGCTCACACAACGGGCAAGCAAGAAGGGGGGGGGGGGGGGGGGT